CGTCGAACCCACCGTGGTTACCCGACAGCTGTTCTGGTCCGTAGCACAAGAAAAATCTTCACCATCATGTACACCATCCATTGGCCTGTAAGTAGACGATGCAACTGAGATGGGAGAATCGATAATGATGTTCGGCGGTCCATCCTGTGATTTGCTCGGCGATCCGCCCATGCCCTTCAGTCTCGGAGTTGCCGTCCTTGATCTCCCACAATCAGCCGACGGAGTTCGCAAAATGCTTTGAATTCGTGGATTTCCTGTGGCCCTTGATGCAACCATTCCTCCGTCCTGGCGGCCATCCTTCCAGGACCGAGGGTGCCAACCTACTTTTTTGACGATTGGTCTGGGGTACCTGGTGTACCCTTCTTCGCTGGAAACGCAACTCTATCCCACGGACACTCAAATCCATTGCCCCCAGGACGTTCACTCAATCGAACCTTCGATGGCGGGCGTCCACATGACGACGTTGCCGAATCACTCACAGGTTCATCTATTCCTCCAGGGGTGTGGATCTGAAAATGCCGAGGGGTACCTGCAACTGGTGTCGGTGGTAATGGCGACGACTCACAACTTCCACCTTTACTACCAGGTCCCTGCCCCTTCACTCCATGACCAGCTGAAGATACACCAAATGGCTGCATCGCCAATCCTCCTTTGCCCTTGGACTTGTGACCCTGTATGTTCTCAGGCGTCTTGTACGTGTACGGGTCCTCCGTGGGCCGAGTCGGCGAGGCGAACCTGGATTCCTCCGACTTCGATGGTGTAATGCTTTCTGGCGCTGATGACGGGGTTGGGTACTGCTCGTGCTGCTCCACACCATATATCTGACTCAAAGTAGGTTGATTCACCTGGTCAATCATGGCCTGCATCTCCTCCTCATATGCCTGCATGTCCGCCTCATCCTTCGAACCTGGCTCTGGCGGTTGGTAAGTACCTCTCCTGTCCCTCTGTTCTCGACAAATGCGCTCCTCTTCTGCAATTCGATTCGCCAATTCAATCTCTGGGTCATCAAAATACGTCGGAGAGTGCCGCGACGGGACCCCTGGACAGGGAGGTTCATCGCTTGTCGTCCCGTTCGTGCCAGCACCTTCCTTCTTTGCACTGTCGGCAATAATGGCCGTGACAATCTCTTGCTGCTGCTGCCTATTTTCTATCGTCTGTGCATATTCCGCCGCCATATCTCGAAGCTCCTTTCTGTCTTCCTCCTCCGCCTGACGCTCTTGCATGGCAAAGAACTCATTCAACTGCTTCTCATGTTCTTCAGGAGTGATGTGCTGGAATGCTTTCAACGTTTGCCTTCGAATCTCCTCCAGCCTCACCTGCTCCATCATTTGCAAACGTCGATGTTCCACCTGCATCTGCTCCTCCCGAATCTGCTGTGCCCTGACCTGCTCGGCCTCCATCCGCTGGTCATTCTGCCGCTGATGTTCCCTCATATCGTACTGAGCCTTCGCATACATGTCCTTCAGGCGCTGCTGTTCTGCGAAAAATTGCTGACGCTGCTGTTCTGCTTGAACCTGTGCCGCCTGTGCTTGCTGTCCAATCACCTGTCGAAGTTCTGCCTGTGCCGATGCCTGCGCCATGACCATCTGTGTCAGGGACGTCATCTGAGCAATCAACGATGCCATAGTATCATCATTCTGGCCAGCCACTTTATCTCGATCATCCTGTCGTTCGTCTCGCATGTGCCCTTGGCTTTGCTGGTCATGTTCATCATCGAGATCTTCCATCAACATGCCTTCCTCGTCGTCCTCCATATCCTTTCTCTTATTTAGCTCAGATATGACCTCCATGATCTTCGCTCTTTTGCCCTTCAACTCAGCCTCGAGGTCCAGGATGCTCTTTTTATCCTTCATTACCTTGACCATCTGACTGTCGATCTGTTCTAACTCAGCATCCAATGAGCTCCGCTGCTTATAGCTTGGTCGAATAATCAAGAGCATGTACTTGATGCAGCTGATTTCTTGTTTCTGCACCTCAATGTCTACCCCAGCATCCCTTGCCGCCTGTATCATCTTCAACAACTTTGCACAGCGAAGGTTCAATCTCTTTTTGTACTCTGCCACCGCATGTTTCTCCTCAGGAGGGTGTATGTATGCAGGATGTCTTTGCGCCTCTTCTCCTGTTGAAATCGGAATTCCATTGTATATCTTCTTCATCACACGGTCGTGTTCAGGTCGAATCTTCTGCTGACCTTTTTGACCCTGCTCACGTGCACGAGACTGACTTCTTCCTCTTCGCGTCCATGGGGCATTCGACCTCCAGTCATAGTCATTCTGTCCATGCCCATGGTGCCGCCCCTGTCTTGGGGTCTGCGACTGCCAACTATGCGCCATCCTCCTTGGCTGGTGCTGCTGCTGCTGCTGCTGCTGCGGCTGCTGAGCACTGTGGTGGGTGCCGAGGAGGTGCACCGCGTCCAAGACGCGGACTAGCGTCCTGGCGTTGGCCCGCTTCTCCCTCTGCCGCCTGTGCCAGGCTGGCTCGCCCTCTCGGGGCGTGGCGGCTCCTCGCCGCCGCGGCTGCGGCGCCGATGGCGCGCTGCGCGCGGCCACGAGCGGCGGGGGCGACCGACGGGACGACGGCCCCGCCCCTCCTCCCCCTCCTCCTCCTCCTCCTCCTCCTCCTCCTTCCCCTCCTCCTCCTCCTCCTCCTCCTCCTCCTCCTCCTCCCTCCCTCCCTCCTCCCTCCCTCCTCCCTCCCCCTCCCTCCCTCCCTCCTGCCTCCTCCCTTTCTTCCCTCTCCTCCTTTCTTCATCACCATCATGTCGGCACACCCCTCACGCGCTTCGTGGCCCCACATGAGCTCCGTCGAAGGTCCCAGTGGCACACTTCGCATGCGCCCCCGCCAGTCATTTCGGCAAAAAAACACCAATGCTTCGTAGCCCCATAGGAGCTCCGCCGAAGGCCCCAGTGGCACACTTCCCATGCGTCCCCGCCAATCATTTCGGCAAACCCCACCAACGTTTCGTAGCCCCCTATAGGAGCTCCGCAGAAGGTCCCAATGGCACAGTTCGCACACGTCCCTGCCACTCATTTCGGCACACCCCTTACGCGCTTCTTGGCCACATAGGAGCTCCGCCGAAGGTCACAATGGCACAGTTCGCATGCGCCCCCGCCACTCATTTCGGCATACTCCTCACACGCGTCGTGGCCCCCACCGAAGATCCCAGTGGCACAGGTCGCACGCGTCCCCGCCAGTCATGTTGGTATACCCCTCACACGTTTCGTAGCCCCATCGGAGCCCCTCCGAAGGACCAAGTGGCACAGGTCGCACGCGTCCCCGCCAGTCATGCCGGCACGCCTCTTATGCGCCTCGTGGCCCCATAGGAGCTCCGCCGAATGTCTCAGTGGCACAGTTCGCATGCGTCCACGCCACTCATTTCGGCACACCCCTCACACGCTTCGTGGCCCACAGGAGCTCCGCCGAATGTCCCAGTGGCACAGTTCGTATGCGTCCCCGCCTTTCATTTCGGCATACCCCTCACACGCTTCGCGACCCCCATCGGAGCCCCGCCGAAGGTCCCAGTGGCACAGTTCGCATCCGTCCCCGCCGCTCATTTCGGCACACCGCTCACACGCTTCGTGGCCCCATAGGAGCTCCGTCGAAACCCCAAGCGGCACAGTTCGCATGCGTCCCCGCCACTCATCTCGGCACACCCCTGACATGTTTCGTGGCCCCATAGGAGCTCCGCCGAAGGTCGCAGTGATACAAATCACACGCGTCCCCGCCACTCATTTCGGCACACCCCGTACACGCTTCGTGGCCACATAGGAGCTCCACCGAAGGTCCCAGTGGCACGCTTCGCATGCGTCCCCGCCATTCACTTCGGCACATCTCCCACACGCCTCGTGGCCCCGTAGGGAGCTCCCCAAAAGACAGCATCCACAACTGCATAGAGTTTGGGTCCTTCGCCAGGCTAAGCTTTTAGAGGCCAGCCCGCCACACACACACACACAATAACACACACAGACCTCACAGGCAAGAGCCCCCAGGAGAGAGGAGACGGCCGTGGGGGGAGGGAGAAGACATCAGGCACACGCTGACACGGATCAAGAATCCGTGGATCCGGCGCCTTGGCGCCACATCCACGGAAGGGGGGACCCGGGCCCCCGAAGCACGGCGCCAGTGCCGCCTGAGTTGGCGACGGAGCGCGCCGTTTCGGCTCGGACGCGGGACCCGTCGCTGATCCATGCGCCCTGATCCCATGTCTGCGCCACCTCGAGGCAGGGATGGGGGCAGGAGGGAGGAGCCCTCCTGTCCTACCCCCGCGCTCCCTCGCTCCTCCTCCTGCGAAGGCCGGCTGCGCGCAAGAGTCACCCTCGGCAAACGCAACCTTTGGTGCGCAGCTCTATCTGGGGGCCTGCGGGGAGGCCGAGACGGAACGCGCAAGACGCCGTGTGCTATAGCATCGCGTGCAGCGGCCAAGAGACCCGGGAGGGCCCGCACCCAAGGTTACTCCGGCGGAGGGTTACTCTCATCGGCGGCGAGCCCGGAAGGGGAAATGAGAAGGAAAAGGCCTTCTCAGAAGGCTCGGAGGTCCCCCAGAATCTGACAAGTTTTCTCAGCCCTCCCCGAAGACAAGGACCACATCTCGGAAGGCGCGAGGGCTTCGGAGAAGTCCCACTGGCTCCTTTCAAGGCCTGCACCCTCGCTGGACGTCGATCTTAAATGGAGCCGAGAGGACCGTCTGGGGGGAGGATGAGCAGGAGGAGACGGAGGATCGAGGAGGAGGAGGAGGAGGAGGAGGAGGAGGAGGAGGAGGAGGAGGAGGGGAGGAGGAGGGGGGAGGAGCAGGAGGGGGAGGAGAGGAGGGGATAAGGAGGGGGGGGGGCGAGGAGGAGGAGGAGGAGGAGGAGGAGGAGGAGGAGGAGGAAAGGCCGATTCTCCAGCCAGGGGCGATCCCCTCGGCAGCGCTGGCGGGGCGCCTCCCCCCCCCCTCCGTGGACGGGGCGGCGGCGCTGGTGGCGGCGGCGGCGGCTGGCGACCGGCGGCGGCTGGCCCGCCTGGTGCCTCAGGGCGGCCAGCTCCTGCGCCTGGGGCGACGACGACGACGACGACGATGCCGACGCAAATGACAACGATGACGACGACGACAATGCCAATGACGACGACGACGACAACGACGACAACGACGACGACAACGACTACAACGACGACGACGACGACGACAACGACGACGACAACGTCGACGACGACGACGTCGACGAAGACACCGACACCAATGACGACGACGACAACGACGACGACGTCGACGACGACGACGTCGACGACGCCAATGACGACGACGACGACGACAACGACGACGCCGACGACGACGACAACGACGACGCCGACGCCGTCGACGCCGCCGCCAGGGAAGCCCAGACCCCCTCGAGTTGTGAGAACACACGACGGCAGAAGGTTCGCTGTTTTCAGGGCCCTTTCAGGGCCCTTGGGCCGTCAAAAAACGGCTCAGGATGAAAAACGGCTCAGGGGGTTCGGCGCAGCGAAGAAAATCACGACGTCGGGGGTCTGGGCTGGGCCCGCCTCAGTCACACCCGAAGGGGAAACCTAGCGGTGGGGACCGTCCGGGGCCTCGACCGCTCTTAGTTCCCAACCATCATGTGGTGGTGGGTCCTCCCGCTGCCCCCCCTCCCTCTCCGCATCATCAGCATCACCGTCACCATCATCATCGTCATCATCATCATCACCATCATCATGTGTTCGGCACACTCCTCACACGGTTCGTGGTCCCATAGGGAGCTCCACCGAAGACCCCAATGGCTGCGTCCTCATGCGTCACCGCCACCCATTACGGCACACCCCTCACACGGTTCGTGGCCCCATAAGGAACTCCACCGAAAGCCCCAGTGGCTGCGTCCTCATGCGTCACCGCCACCCATTCCGACACACCACTCACACGGTTCGTGGCCCCATAAGGAGCTCCACCGAAGGCCCCAATGGCTGCGTTCTCATGCGTCACCGCCACCCAAGTCGGCACACCCGTCACACGGTTCGAAGCCCAATATGGAACTCCACCGAACGCCCCAGTGGTTGCGTCCTCATGCGTCACCGCCACCCATTACGGGACACCCCTCATATATATATATATATATATATATAAATAGTTATGGAGTAGTTGTTGTTGTTGTTGTTGTTGGTGGTGGTGTTCTTGTTGCTGCTGTTGGTGTTGTGGTTGTCAGTTCTTGTACATGTTGCTGCTGGTGTCGTTATTCCTGCTGGTGCGCTTGTAGTTAATGCTGTCATCCTACTTTCACTACTGACGCATTATTCTTGATGATCCCCCAATCCAGCGAGTTTTGTTTTTTTTTCCATGGAAGTGCTTCCTCCAGGGCTCGCACCCTGTTTCTTTCATGAAGGAAAATCCCGGGGCTCAAACTTGGTTGTTGCCCCCCGAATTGCAGCAAGAACAACGGATCCCGCCTGAAACTTCTTCACAAGTTAGCCAGGGCCCCTGCTCCCGCCAGTGACTTCCTCGCATGTTCCTCAGGAGTCGCGCTCTCGCTTCGGACTGCCTTACACTTTATTAAGTTACTACAGGATCGTGCTCTTGCGTTGGAATTCCTGGCAATTTACTCAAACGCCGCGCTCCTGACACTCAGGCACCCAGGAGTCGCGTTCACGCTTAGGACTCCCTCACAGCGTACTTAAGAATCGGAATCTCGCTGCCCTTCGTGGCCGCGTTGCAGCCCTTCGTGGCCCCTCTGCTGCACTTCGTGGCCGCGTTGCAACCCTTCGTGGCCCCCTCGCTGTTCGTGGCCCCGTTGCAACCCTTCGTGGCCCCCTCGCTGCCCTTCGTTGCCCCGTTGCCGCCCGTCGTGGCGCCCTCGCTGCCCCTCGTGGCCCCGTTGCCGCCCGTCGTGGCCCCCTCGGCGCGCTTCGTGGCCCCGTTGCCGCCCGTCGTGGCCCCCTCGCTGCGCTTTGTGGTCCTGTTGCGGCCCTTCGCGGCCCTTTCGCTGCCCTTCGTGGCCCCGTTGCAGCCCTTCCTGGCCCTCTCGCTGCCCTTCGTGGCCCCGTTACAGGCCTTCGCGGCCCTTCTCGCTGCCCTCCGCGGCCCCATCTACGCATGCCCTTCGTGGCCCCCGCTCGTTCGCGCCCGTCGTGGCCCCATTTGCGTGCCCTTCGTGGCCCCGCCGTCGCCCTTTGTGGCCCCCTCGCTGCCCTTCGTGGCCCCGTTGCTGCCTTCAGTGGCCCCGTCCTTGCCCTCTGCAGCCCAATACACGCATGCCGTTCGTGGCCCCCGCTCGTTCGCGCCCGTCGTCGCCCCATGTGCGTGCCCTTCGTGGTCCCGCCGTCGCCCATGGCCCCGTTGCTACCTTCAGTAGCCCCGTCGTTCGCGCCCCCCGTGGCCCCGTGCGCATGCCCTTCGTGGCCCCGCTGTCGCCCTTCGTGGCCCCCTTCCTGCCCTTCGTGGCCTTGCTCTCGCTCCCGTTCTCGCTCTCGCTCTCGCTTTCGAGCGTCGTCGTCGTCTTCGGCGCCGCCGCCGCCGCCGCCGCCACCGCC